ACAGTGCACATATCTTATTTGTAGTGGGGAAAAAACACTTAAAAACAATGCATGATTAAAATGAAGAACAATTTTAAGAAATATAAACAATTAGTATTTCAATGGAAAGTGTGGGCTTGCTTTTAGCTGATGAGAAAGGATTGTTGTTGTTATTGTTGTGTGCTATCAAGTCATTTCAGATTTAAGGTGACCCTGAGCGAGGGCCGGGTAAATGACCTTGGAGGGCCATATTTGGCCCCCGGGCCTTAGTTTGAGGACCCCTGATCTATACAGTCAGCTCTCTATATCCATGGATTCTGCATTCATGGATTCAACCGTCCATGGATTTAAAATATTTCCCCTCAAAAAAATCCACAAAAGAAATTTGATTTTTCCCCCTGTTCTATACAAGGGGCACCATTTTACTATGCTATTGCTTATAATGGGACTTGAACATCCAAAGGATTTGGTATTACAATTCATAGGGGCTGATGGAACTAAACGCTAGGAGATACCAAAGGTGTGAAAGAAGTTATTCGAGGTGCTAAACCTATTTGGAAGATAGGCTGGGCTGCTCTTTTAAAGTTCAGACTGGAAGCTAGATTCATCTGCCACTCCAAGGTAGAAATCTCTCTCTGCATACAGTTCTGTTGTACTGAAAAAGAGAGGCAGAAAGAGTGCAAAGCATTAGCCTGTCGGCTAGTTTGAGGGTTTTTCCCCCTCTGTTTTTAATGGCCAGAACTCTGGCTTTTAATAGATTAAATAAGCATGCAGCTTGTAAAACTTCAATTAATTTCTCTTTTTGATGAGAAAAGAGAAGTCTCATAACTGTGGGATGCCATTAAGTTTCATAATGGAAAGCTGCCATTCATTGTTAAAAAAAAAAGGCTCATATTTTCTTTCTCATCACATGCGGGAACATCAAACAAACCTCGCAACGATAACCTACCGGAACCAATATGTTTGCTTTTTCAAGTTCAAGGCCCTACACTAGTATGAATGAGCCAGATCTGAACAGGACACACTATTTGTTGTTAGTCCCTTCCAATCACGGCATCCTTCCAAATTGATAACTCAATGGGGACCCATTATAACCATTTGGCAGATGCTTTGATGGCCCAGCTGGTATCTTAGGGGCATTTATCTTCCCATCATGATGTCATTGTTTCATCAAGAAGTCAACATTGTTGAGTTTAGTTCAACCTCATCCCCTGCTATGGGCATCACAATTCCTAGTGTTAATGTTTTGCATCTGACCCTTCCAACAAAAATCAAATAAAGTGAAACAATGATACTCTTTCTTTTATGGGAGGCAAAAAAGGAGCAAAAGAACCAAAATACATTGATAATAGAATAGCTCATTTGCATTTCAGTCTATAACTTGACATTGATTTGTCTGCCCATGTATTGGGTCAGTCATCCACCAATGATGATGATGTTGGTGATGGTGGTGTTGGTGGTGATTTTTTTTCCATGTCAGAAGTGACTTGAGAAACTGTAAGTCACTTCTGGCCATCTGCAAGGGTGTTGCCCAGGGGACACCTGAATGTTCTGATGTTTTTCCATCCTTGTGGGAGGCTTCTCTCATGTACCTGCATGGGGAGCTGGAACTGACAGAGGGAGCTCATCCGCGTTCTCTTCGGATTCGAACCTCCAACTTGTCGGTCTTCAGTCCTGGCAGCACAAGAGTTTAACCCATTGCACCACCACAATTAAATAATAATAATAATAATAATAATAATAATAATATCAAGACCTCAAAATTGAACTGCAAAGGCTCTGGCATAAACCAGTACAGGTGGTCCCAGTGGTGGCCATTGTGACGGAGCGAGTAGCGCCACCTATGCGTAGAACTGTTAGTTGCAAGATTTAAACAGTTGTATTATGCTTAATCCTGCCTTTTTACCCTGCTTATGTATAGTTGGATTGATTGGTTATTTATAGCTGTCAATCAGTGTTGTTTGCACCAGTTGAATTGCTTTTTCAGCTCAATTGTTTGGCTCCATCTCTTCCTGGAGGAGGGGAGTGCTTCCCTTTTTTATTCTGCCATCAGAGTTTCTATCAGATGGACGTGAGTAAGAGGCTTGGCTCTAAAAGCCCCTGATTAAATTACCTCTCAGCACCAATTCTGAGGTTTTTACTCTTGAGACTTATGCTTCATGTTCAGACCAACCTGAACGATGTTGGGAAGTCTCAAGCGCCTTCAGACCAGTTCCTTTGGCACCAGAGGAAGACATATGCCATCTGGACTGGGGTTGTGGATTGCTCCGGCATTCACAGCCATTGAGAAAGAGGGACCTGGAAAAACTTCTCAGCTTCAAAACTTCTTGGACCCAAGACAACCAGAGACTGTAATGTACATTTTCTTTCACCCCTTTGAAACTTCCAGCTTATTGCCTTAAAGAGATAACTCTTTGTGAACAATAAAACTTATTTTGAGTTATCTACAGTGTTTGGGTCTTTGAGAGTTCCAGTTTCCTAAAGAAGGGCAAGAAGCAATCCCCTGGGGAAAGATGCCACATCCATGCCTCTTTCACTAAGAGCTATAGTCCCCAGGCACGACGGCACAGCCATTGGCGCACTGGGTGCCTTGCTAAAAGATCTCAGCCGGCACTTGGAAACAATAAACATTGACAAAATCACGAGCTGTCAACTGCAAAAGGCCATCTTACTTGGATCTGCATGCATCATTCGAAAATACATCACACAGTTCTAGACGCTTGGGAAGTGTTCGACTTGTAATTTTTTGATACGAAATCCAGCATATAGATCTAGTTTGCTGTGACATACTGTGCTTTTGTGTCAGTAAAATAATAATCTTTTATTTGTATACTACTTTACCTCCTCGAGGGGACTCAGGGCGATTTTCAGGAAAGGTAAAGCATTCAATTACCAACACAAAATCATACGGAATAACCATTATAAGACATAGACATAATACTATAAAACAGTCAAACATATTTCAGATTTAATTCCAGTTTCAGTACTAATTTCCATCGGGAAAAATTCAACTACCAATGGCCGGAATTTCAGAGTGGGCCTAGACAAGTATGAGAGGGCTGGGCTAGTGCAACTATGAGAGGGCTGGCTAAAGTGCAAGCAGGGTCCTACCTGATGGTCAGGGTGGGACCTGTATCTATTTATTTCCAATACCTGCTGAACAGCTATAGGAGGGCTGATGATGGTGATGATGTCAGTGATGTATAGGGTGTTTTATATGTAAAGCAACCAAAAACAGTGAGTCCTGTCAAAGCATTCAATCTAAAATAGATGTATATTGAAACACAAAGAGGGAAGGAAGAAATATGGATGTTCAAACAGGCTTTTGACCTCAAGTAGACTGAATGGGCCCATGTGAAGTTGACTCTTGGCACATTGTGAATTGAAGGCAGCTAGTATTATCTACTGTTGTTTTTAAAATTGCATTATTTTGATTTTATGCTATATGAGTTGCTGTTATAACTTTACATTACTTGTTTTATACTTATGTACCATTTTTACCTGCTGTATGTTATAAATGCATCCTGGAATGCCTTTGCAAGTCACCATGAGTCCCTTTGGGGAGATGGTGGCAGGATATAAATAAAGATGATTATTATTATTGTTATTATTATTTGAAACACCACAAGATGAGTCCACAGCAGACACTCTGCTGGCTGTTGTATTGGATCACACGTCGGACACTTCCCAAGTGTCTAGGACTGTGTGATGTGTCGGTGAATAATGTGTGCAGATCCCAGTAAGGTGGCCTTTTGCAGCTGGCAGATGGTAATCTTGTCAGCGCCAATTGTGTTTAAGTGCAGGCCAAGGTCTTTAGGCACTGCACCCAGTGTGCCGATCACCGCTGGGACCACCTTTACTGGCTTGTGCCAGAGCCTTTGCGGTTTGATCTTTAAATCCTCATATCGTGTCAGCTTTTCCAGTTGTTTCTCTTCAATCCTGCTGTCACCTGGGATTGCAACATTGATAATCCACACTTTGTTTTTTAACACAATTGTGAGGTCAGAAGTATTAAGCTCCAAAACTCTGTCTGTCTGAATTCGGAAGTCTCAGAGTAGCTTGACGAGTTCATTCTCTGTAACTTTTTCTGGCTTGTGATCCTACCAGTTCTTTGTCGCAGGCAGATGGTATTTGTGGCACAAGTTCCAATGAATCATCTGAGCAACGGTATTATGCCTCTGCTTGTAGTCTGTCTGCGTATTATTGTTGTTGTTGTTGTTGTTATTCCAGTGTAAATCTATGCAATATAAACAAAATATTCTGAAAAAATAGAAAAAGTGTGTATGTATGTGCTATCAAGTTGCCTGTCTGAGAACAGTGGCACCATGAATTCCAAAGGGTTTTCTCAAGCAAGGAAGAGGTAGTTTCCCAGCCCCATCCTCTGAAATATAGCTCACAGTACCTGGTATTTGTTGGTGGTTTTCCATGCAAGTATCAACCACAGCAGATGTTGCATAGCTTTCAAGATCAGACAGGATCTGGTGCCTTTGCAGTATTTTGTCTACTTGTAAGTAACTACCCTTTTAATATTCAGGTGTAACAACATTGTATTCATCGGAAATCTACACCCCTTTGGTGTTTCTTTTAGGAGTTGCAGTTTCACTAAATGATGGATCCGAGCTATTGGATGGTTCACATTCTGTGCTTTGTATTGTGCTCTAAATGTTACTAAACTGCAGTACCCAGCATTCTTCATAGAATTATAGAGTTGGAAGAGACCTCATGGGCCATCTAGTCCAACCCCCTGCCAAGAAGCAGGGAAATCCCTCCTCATTGGTTTGGTTGGCTAGGGCTGCAGGGATTTGCAGTTTAACATCAGGACAGCTGCACTTTTTTGTGGAAGCCTGCAATTCCATTTAGAGAATTGGGGCAGCACAGTCTTGTTTTTTAAAAAATGTCACTTTAGATAAAACTTTTTGCCTTCGATACAGAAGTGTGACTACTTATATTATAGAAGTAAAAACTCTGGTCTTGTGTTTATTTCTTTCCAACTTCCATGTTTTCTCTTGTCCCATCAACAGCTCCGTGTGGCGGCCATCTGACCTCTCCAAGTGGAATGATTCTGTCTCCAGGTTGGCCAGGCTTCTACAAGGATTCTCTGAATTGTGCCTGGGTCATCGAAGCTCAGCCAGGATACCCAATCAAAATTACTTTTGACAGGTGATTGTTGGCATCAGTGCTATTGTTTTCAAAATCTTATTGATGCATTACAACTAGAGTAGATTCATTTATTCCGCAGGTTCTCAATCTGTGGGTCCCCAGATGTTTTGGCCTCCAACTCCCAGAAATCCTTACAGCTGGTAAAGTGGCTGGGATTTCTGGGAGTTGTTGGCCAAAACACCTGGGGACCCACAGGTTGAGAACCACTGATTTATTCAATTGATGAATGGTGAGTGAGCACAAAGGTGAATTCCATTGATTCAATGGTTCTATGTTGTTGTTCATTCGTCCAGTCGTCTCCGACTCTTCGTGACCTCATGGACCAGCCCACACCAGAGTTCCCTGTTGGCTGTTACCACCCCCAGCTCCTTCAAGGTCAGTCCAGTCACTTCAAGCATGCCATCCAATGGTTCTAAATGAGGCTATTATTGGTTTCTTGGCAATCCTGAAGCACTCTAGAATGCAGCTTACTAGGTTCTTGACCATGTTATGTATTTTATTCAATTATTGAATGATGAGTGTGCACAAAGGTAAATTTAATGTATTGTCGAAGGCTTTCATGGCCTGAATCACTGGGTTGTTGTAGATTTTTCGGGCTGTATGGCCATGTTCTAGAAGCATTCTCTCCTGACATTTTGCCTGCATCTATGGCAAGTGAAACATTAGGAAAGAATGCTTCTAGAACATGGCCATATAGCCAGAAAAACCTACAACAACTCATAGGTATATTCCATTGTTTCAATGGTTTTATGTGAGGTTATTATTGGTTTTTTGGCAATCCTGAAGCACTCTTGAATGGAGATGCAGCTTGCTAGGTTCTTGACCATGTATATGTACAAATTACAATATACACGTGCCTGTGTATATTGTAATTTGTATATTGTTATGTATTCATTTGTTTTATGGTACTGTTTATTGGTTGCGTTTTTGGTTTGTGTTTTTGGTTTTTCTTTATCGTAATTGTTGTTTGGGCTTGGCCTCATGTAAGCCGCTTTGAGTCCCCTTTGGGGAGATGGTGGTGGGGTATAAATAAAGATGATGATGATGATGATGATGATGATGATGATGATGATTATAGATCAGGGTTCTCAACCTGTGGGTCCCCAGATGTTTTGGCCTTCAACTCCTAGAAATCCTAACAGCTGGTAAGCTGGCTGGAATCTCTGTGAGTTGTAGGCCAAAACAGCTGGGGAAACACAGGTTGAGAACCAGTGTTATAGACAGTCATTCAAGAAAGATCTGTTATCTTCCCTCAAAGCATGTGCTTTACCAATGAGCCATGCTTTCCTGTTTATATTTCCTGGGGTAAAACCAGAAATGGGAAATATGTTGATTGATTTATTTATTTATCGTGTCAGGAGTGGACCAAAACAGTTGTAGTGCATTAAAACAAACAAACAAACAAAACACAAAGTTTGCAGACTTGGTATTCTATTAAATGTCCTTTGACCAGTATCTGGCCACTTGGAGTGCCTCTGGTGTTTCTGCAAGAAGGTCCTCCACTGTGCATGTGGCAGGGCTCAGGTTGCATTGCAGTAGGTAGTCTGTAGTTTGCTCTTCTCCACATTCACATGTTGTGGATTCCACTTTGTAGCCCCATTTCTTAAGGTTGGCTCTGCATCTTGTGGTGCCAGAGCGCAGTCTGTTCAGCGCCTTCCAAGTCACCCAGTTTTCTGTGTGCCCAGGGGGGAGTCTCTCATTTGGTATCAGCCATTGATTGAGGTTCCGGGTTTGAGCCTGCCACTTTTGGACTCTTGCTTGCTGAGGTGTTCCAGCGAGTGTCTCTGTAGATCTTAGAAAACTATTTCTTGATTTAAGTCATTGACGTGCTGGCTAATACCCAAATATGTTGATGCGGAATCATAGAATCATAGAATCATAGAATCAACGAGTTGGAAGAGACCTCATGGATCATCCAGTCCAACCCCCTGCCAAGAAGCAGAAATATTGCATTCAAATCACCCCTGACAGATGGCCATGGAATATTGATATGTCTCTCCCAGTGACCCAGAAGAAAAATCTAATGAAATTGCTTAAGATAATTCTGGTGGAATCATAATTTTTAAAAAATTGACAAGTTGTGGTGACTGCCATAGTGAGCTATAAGCCACATTTGATGAAGAAATGAGGTTGACAATGTCAACCCTACTTGGTTGATGATTCTGAAATGGGCAAATGACAACACTAATCTAGTACTGCTAACGTTATCTTCTTGATCAACCCCACACTCTTATGTGGTTCTTTTAACTTTACACTATCTATATAAATAAAAATGTAATGTTTGTTTGTGGGATTAACAGAACTCAAAAACCACTGGACGAATTGCCGCCAAATTTGGCCAGAAGACACCTACGAACCCAAGAAGTGACCAGTGGTTTATTTATTTACGATATTTATATACCGCCCTTCTCACCCCGAAGGGGACTCAGAGTGGCTTACAAGATATATATACATATAATATATTAGATAAGTTTTAGTATATGCCATCATTGTAGCCATGTTTAATGGACCTTACTTAAACCCAATATCTATGTGATCCAGACCAAAGTAGATGACAGTGAAAAGGAAGATTTTTCCACTTCTTTCTACATGTACTTCTCTTTCCCCTTTGCAGATTTAAAACAGAGGTGAATTATGACACACTGGAAGTGCGCGATGGCAAGTCCTATTCATCGCCATTGATAGGGGTGTACGATGGGACTCAGGTGCCCCAATTCCTCATTAGCACCAGCAATTTCCTCTACCTCCTCTTCACCACCGACAAGAGCCACTCTGATGTTGGCTTTCAGATCCGCTATGAAAGTAAGTCAAAAAACGGAGGTGGTTATTCCCTTGCCAGCATCATTAAGAGCTTCTTTAAACTAAGTGGCAGCTATTGTTTCTTTGAGTTTCCTTGACTTAGACTGTTGGGACTGTTAGACAAATATGAAAGCCTTCAGAGTTGGTCATAATCTCAGCATTGTGGGAAACAGTGAATTCCAACATGGGCAGTGATCAAAAACAAATGAAAAAGAAAAGTGATAGAGAAAACTCACAGGAAATTATGATGCTGAGCTTTGAAGCTCCAACACTCCAATGCCTGGCGATGATACCAAAATTCCTTTTCATCTAGAGCAGGGGTCCTCAAACTAAGGCCTGGGGGCCGGATACGGCCCTCGAAGGTCATTTACCCGGCCCTCGCTCAGGGTCAACCTAAGTCTGAAACGACTAGAAAGCACACAACAACAACAATCAGCCAAAAGCAGGCCCACACTTCCCATTGAAATACTAATAAGTTTAGGTTTGTGAAAAAAATTTCTTCATTTTAATTATTATATTGTTTTTGAGTTGTTTTTTTTGCACTACACATAAGATACAGTATGTGCAGTGTGCATAGGAATTCATTCATGTTTTGTTTATTTCAAATTATAATCCAGCCCTCCAACAGTTTGAGGGACTGTGACCTGGCCCTCTGTTTAAAAAGTTTGAGGACCTCTGATCTAGAGTCTAGTTATGGGCAAGTATCAGATGATAACACATCTCTTTTACTTCCCAAGATAACTTGAATGGCCTCGCTCTATCACCTTGCTAACAAAACTCAATTCTGGGAGCGGGGAGGGAGAAAAATTGAAAACAGTCCATAGGGGTCCTGGAGTTCCAGAATGACTCTTGGGTCCACATGTAACCGATGGGTCACACTTTGCTTATGTCTGATTTGTACTATTCTAAATCAAGTTATCTGTGGACATTAAAGAAAAATGATGTGCTGCTTATCCCTGAGGTTATGTCAGAAATAAAAAGAGGTGTACCTATTCTTACTTGGCCCCCTGGTGGTGCAGCGGGTTAAACTGCTGAGCTGCTGAACTTGCTGACCAAAAGTTGGCGGTTCGAATCCGGGGAGCAGGGTGAACTCCTACTGTTAGATCCAGTTTCTACCAACCTAGCAGTTCAAAAACATGCAAGTGTGAGTAGATCAATAGGTACTGCTTCTGCAGGAAGGTAATGGCGGTCCATGCAGTCATGCCAGCCACGTGCCAGCTTGCCACTGTATTGAATCCTATTCCCCAAATAGTTTCAGTACCATAGGTAGCTCCTGTGAACTTCAGTCTTGAAGAGTGGCTCCCAGTCTTTGGGTCTCCAGATATTTGGGACTTCAATTCCCAGAAGCCCCAGCCAGCTTGGTCAACTGTCAGGAATTCCAGGAGCTAAAGTCCTCGAGGACCAAAGACTGGAAAATGCTGGTTTAAAGTCCTCAACCAAACTGACATGGAATCTAATAACTATTGCCTAGAATGTAAAGGAGCCCCCGGTGGCATAGCAGGTTAAACCGCTGAGCTGCAGAACTTGCTGACCAAAATATTGGAGGTTCAACTCTGGGGAGCGGGGTAAGCTGCCGCTGTTAGACCCAACTTCTGCCAACCTAGCAGTTCAAAACCATGCAAATGTGAGTAGATCAATAGGTTCCGCTTCTGCAGGAAGGTAATGGCGGTCCGTGCAGTCATGCCCTCACATGACCTTGGAGGTGTCTACGGACAATGCCAGTTCTTCAGCTTAGAAATGGAGATGGGCGCGCACACACACCCCCAGAGTGAGATACGACTAGACTTAAAGTCCGGGAAAACCTTTACCTTTTTAATTTTTTTACTTTGGACTGCCCCTATCAAATTACATTTTAAAAAATGTCTCCACTATATTTTCTGAGGGTACTTTTTGAAACAGTACCTTCAGAAGAGAAGGTCTCCAAATGGAAATCTGTCAGGTTTCACTCTCCAGCAGTTTCTCATACGTGACCTCTCCTCCCACATTTTAAAACCGATTAAGTTGGGGAAGGCAGCAATTGTATGCTTCTGCATGATTCAGAATCAGGATCATGAGCTCTGAGGGATAAATGTATACATCTGTGTTCTTTGCAGCGGTAAAACTCCAGTCCGACCACTGTTTGGACCCAGGGATACCCGTCAATGGCCTACGGCATGGGGATGATTTCTACGTCGGTGCTTTGGTGACCTTCGGCTGTGACCCAGGATATACTTTGAGTGACAATGAAGCCCTGGAATGCGAACCCAATTTTCAATGGAGCAGACCCCTTCCCAGCTGTGAGGGTAAGCATGGAAAGCTTCCATACTTCCATTGTGTGTGGGATGGGGGGTATAGAAAATGTCACGTCAGTTCTAGTGTATTGTGTATTGATTACGGTTATTTTCAATATTTCTATTTCATATGGTAATGTCTCTGGGGATCTTAAATTAAAGTCAATTAGAGCAACGTAAATCTAAGACCATAAAAATAAGAGCATTGGATACTTTGAAAAGTTGATGTTGAAATAATATAAAACCATCTATCTATCTATCTATCTATCTATCTATCTATCTATCTATCTATCATCTATCTATCTATCTATCTATCTATCTATCTATCTATCTATCTATCATCTATCTACACACACACATATGGGAGCCCCTGATGGCGCAGTGGGATAAACCGCTGAGCTGCTAAACTTTTTGACCGAAAGGTCGCAAGTTTGAATCCAGGGAGCGGCGTGAGCTTCCGCTGTCAGCCCCAGCTTCTGCCAACTTATCAGTTCAAAAACATGCAAATGTGAGTAGATTCCAGCGGGAAGGTAACGGCGCTCCATGCAGTCATGCTGGCCGCATGACCTTGGTGGTGTCTACAGACAATGCCGGGTCTTCGGCTTAGAAATGGAGATGGGCACCAACACCCAAAGTCGGACATGACTGGACTTAATGTCAGGGGACTACTAGTTGCTCTTGTTGCTGCATGGTTTCACGGCAACTGTGTAGTAATGGTGAGGCCACGGGCAATATTTTCATTCTTTTGGCCCATGGACCACAGGCTGGGAACCACTGATCTGTCCACATAGGGTAAAGTCATTGAGACTCAAAGGTTTCTGAAAAAAGTTAAGTTTTCCTGTGAAATAAGACCTGTGTCACCACCAACTGGACTTCCAATACAATAACATTCCACAACCACGGTGCCATGGCTGCATTGCGGACATCCGTCTGTCCTCCTTCTAGCCATCCATCCATCCATCCAACCATCTATCCATCTCATTATAGTGGAGGTGGAGGAATTTTCCTTCCTAAATGCCACCCAGCACTCCATAGGAGATGAAGATGACTTTGATCACATTTTTCACTTCACCTGAATACTCTTTATTTAGGCCTTTTCCTCAATAGATGCTGATGTGCATATGTATGAGGATTACATACATGGAATAGGTATCTGTTAGGTTCTGAGTCACAGAAGAAGCACTGAGAAGTTTCCCCATCCTTCAGTTGAAAATCCATATCTGAATTTCTACCTCTCTTTTCCTGCCCCTTCACAGCGCTCTGCGGAGGCTACATTCGTGGATCCAGTGGTACCGTGCTCTCACCCGGCTTTCCTGATTTCTACCCCAACAATTTAAACTGCACATGGATCATTGAAGCTTCTCACGGCAAAGGTACCTTGTGTGTCATGTGTTTGTGTTATGTATTGTCGAAGGCTTTCATGGCCGGAATCACTGGGTTGTTGTAGGTTTTTTCGGGGCTATGTGTCCATGTTCTAGAGGCATTCTCTCCTGATGTTTCGCCTGCATCTATGGCAAGCATCCTCAGAGGTAGTGAGGTCTGTTGGAACTAGGAAAATGGGTTTATATATCTGTGGAATGACCATGGTGGGAAAAAGAACTCTTGTCTGTTGGACCTAGGTGTGAATGTTTCAACTGACCACCTTGACTAGCATTTGATGGTCTGGCAGTGCCTGGGGCAATCTTTTGTTGAGAGGTGATTAAATGTCCCTGGTTGTTTCCTCTCTGTTGTTTTGCTGTTGTAATTTTAGAGTTTTTTTAATACTGGTAGCCAGATTTTGATCATTTTCATGGTTTCCTCCTTTCTGTTGAAATTGTCCACATGCTTGTGGATTTCAGTGGCTTCTCTGTGTAGTCTGACATGGTGGTTGTTAGAGTGGTCCAGCATTTCTGTGTTCTCAAATAAAATGCTGTGCCCAGGTTGGTTCATCAGGTACTCTGCTATGGCTGACTTCTCTGGTTGAAGTAGTCCACAGTGCCTTTTGTGTTCCTTGATTCGTATATGGGCAATGCTGCGTTTGGTGGTCCCTATGTAGACTTATGTCAACAGCTGCATGGTACACGGTAGACTCCTGCAGAAGTAAGAGGATCCCTCTTGTCCTTTGCTGAATGTAATATTTGTTGGATTTTCTTGGTGGGTCTGTAGATAGTTTGTATGTTGTGTTTCCTCATCTGCTTCCCTATGCGGTCAGTGGTTCTCTTGATGTATAGCAAGGACACTTTTCCTCTGGGTGGATCTTTGTCTTTTAAGGCTTTGTATGTTTTTTTAATATATTTTTATATCATATGGTATTGTTTTTAACAGAATTTCTTAATTGTTTTTACTTATTATAATTGTTGAGGCATCAAATTGTTGCCAATTTGTGAACCGCTCCGAGTCGCCTCTGGGCTGAGAGGGGCAGTATATAAATATAGTAAATAAATAAATAAATAATGCTCTATACCTTGCTAAATTACATATCCCAAACTCCCATTGGCTAGAGATGTAGCAGTGAAAGTAGTATCTGGTTGCTGAAATTGTGAGTTCAACGCAGACGCAATATAACCTGGCTATCTCTTGGAAAGCTTTGTGTATCAAAGCAACCTTTCTGATTGCAGATAAGCAAATCTGCAAGTTTTCTTTAGGCTCTTATTCCTGTTTCAGGCATTTCTGTCACCTCATCGGACGGCTTTCTTCTGTCCCTAACCAATTCTTCTTCTTCTTACCCAGTCTGACTTGAAGAACTGCAGCTACAAAGTGCCAACTTCCTAAAAGAGAGAAAAAGAATGGAGGAAAGTGTCAGCAAAGCAGAGCACATTAATTCTGAGCTGCCGTCTGTGGCTCTAGTTTTGCTAGATCCTGACACAATGGGACCCGCTATCAATCAGCCCTGTGATACCGATTGTATTAAGGCAGATAAACCAGTCGCTGAAAAGCACAGTGCATTAGCAGAGGCGTTACATGCTGTGCTAGGCGCCCCACAGAGTGGGAGAAATCCACTCTTCATTAATCCACTCAGCCCCAGATTCTGTCTTCTCAGGAGAGGCCTCTCATTATCCCGGCGGATACGTATCGTGCAACACAGAGAAGCCGACACTCTCGTGAATGGGATTCACGTGGCATCTTGTTCTACCATAGATCCACCACCCTGGCTGGGGATGCAGCATAATGGGATTTTCAGTTTTGTTCCCTCTGCAAAGAGTTCATTCAGAAGTGGTCAAGAGCACTTACAGCAAGGGTGGGCATATCTGTCTACCTTTCTGCCCCTGAGACTTTGTCCTGACAACAAAAATACTCCAAATCAGGTTACCCAGGGACATGGCATGGAGCAAATCTCTTTGTGATTTTGATGTACTGATAAACAAATGCTGTGATGAGCAAAAAAGGCTTCAATCATCCCAGTTTAGTAGGGATAGGCCTGAATATAAATATGTATATATTTAATTACATGTAATATTACTAATAATATAACAATATAATGGTATAGTGCAATATAGTAATATATACTGATATTGTACTTTGCTAATAATATAATATATTGTATGGAAATATATATTGTAAGCCGCTCTGAGTCCCCTTCGGGGTGAGAAGGGCGGCATATAAGCGCCGTAAATAAATAAATAAATAAATAAATAAATAAATAAATAATCCTCACTCATCCCATTTCTTCGCTGCTTTTAAAATGCACCAGTTTTTCTTCTCTCCCCCCGTTTCCCCTTTTTACCCAACTTCCTTCAATTGCTTTTAAAGTACAAAGATAGTTTGCACTGATTTAACTCAAAATAAATAGGGAAGGGATTAGATTCCAACAAGGCGACTCTAAGGTGGATCTATTACACCAGGGGTCCTCAAACTTTTTAAACAGAAGGCCAGGTCACAATCCCTCAAAGTGTTGGAGGGTCGGATTATAATTTGAAAAAGACATGAATGAACTCCTATGCACACTGTACATATCTTATTTGTAGTGCAAAAAACACTTAAAAAGCAATACAATGATTACAATGAAGAACAATTTTAACAAATATAAACTTATTAGTATTTCAATGGGAAGTGTGGGCCTGCTTTTGGCTGATGAGATAGGATTGTTGTTGTTGTTGTGTTCTTTCAAGTCATTTCAGACTTAGGTTGACCCTAAGCGAGGGCTGGGTAAATGACCTTAGAGGACCGTATCCGGCCCTCGGGCCGTAGTTTGGGGACCCCTGTATTACACGGTTTGAAACTGCATTATGTGATCAATGTAGACTCAAATGAGGAAAAAGGTAAAGGTTTCCCCTGACATTAAGTCTAGTCGTGTCCAACTCTGGGGGATGGTACTCATCTCCATTTCTAAGTTGAAGAGCCAGAGCCCCCAGTGGCGCAGTGGGTTAAATCCCTGTGCCGACAGGACTGAAGACCGACAGGTCGCAGGTTCAAATCCGGGGAGAGGCAGATGAGCTCCCTCTATCAGCTCCAGCTCCTCATGCGGGGACATGAGAGAAGCCTTCCACAGGGATAATAAAAACATAAAGTCATCTGGGCGTCCCCTGGGCAACGTCCTTGCAGACAGCCAATTCTCTCACACCAGAAGCGACTTCCAGTCTCTCAGGTCGCACCTGACACGACAAAAAAAAAGTTGAAGAGCCGGCATTGTCCGTAGACACATCCAAGGTCATGTGGCCAGCATGACTGCATGGAGCACCGTTACCTTCCCGCAGAAGCGGTACCTATTGATCTATTCACATTTGCATGTTTTCAAACTGCTAGGTTAGCAGAAGCTGGGGCTAACAGCGGGAGCTCATCCTGCTCCCTGGATTCAAACTGCTAACCTTTCAGTCAGCAAGTTCAGCAGCTCAGCAATTTAACCTCCTGTAACTCTAATAATGCAGTTTAATTGTATTGGTCTCCAGATTTGTAGTCCAATACTCAGACCACTGGCTCTTTCATTGGAGCTATGACCCAACAAGTGCCTGAATGATATGGAGTCTGTAGACTTCATGAGAAGTGGTACATTGGATGCCCCCATTTGCACACCCTCTCAAGCACACCCAGAACCTCTAAGGTAGGAAGAAATATATTTTTAGGTTCTTGTAGGTTTTTTCGGGCTATAGGGCCATGTGCTAGAGGCATTTCTCCTGATGTTTCGCCTGCATCTATGGCAAGCATCCTCAGAAGTAGTGAGGTCTGTTGGAAATAGGAAAATGGGTTTATATATCTGTGGAATGACTGGGGTGGGGCAAAGAGCTCTCTGCCGAAGCTAGGTGTGAATGTTTCAGCTGACCACCTTCATTAGCATTTGAAGGCTTGGCTGAGCCTGGGAAAATGATCTGTTGAGAGGTGTTAAGATGTGCCTGGTTGTTTCCTCTCAGCGATCCGAGTTCAAATCTCGGTGGAACCTAACTTTTGAGTGAGGTGAGAAAGATAAGGCAATCCACAAGCATGTGGACAATTTCAACAGAAAGGAGGAGACCATGAAAATGAACAAAATCTGGCTACCAGTATTAAAAAACTTTAAAATTACTACAGCAAAACAGCAGAGAGGAAACAACCAGGCACATCTTAACACCTCTCAACAGAACATTTTCCCAGGCTCAGCCAAGCCTTCAAATGCTAATGAAGGTGGTCAGCTGAAACATTCACACCTAGCTTCAGCAGAGAGTCCTTATAGAATCATAGAATCAAAGAGTTGGAAGAGACCTCATGGGCCATCCAGTCCAACCCCCTGCCAAGAAGCAGGAATATTGCATTCAAATCACCCCTGACAGATGGCCATCCAGCCTCTGTTTAAAAGCTTCCAAAGAAGGAGCCTCCACCACACTCGGGGCAGAGAGTTCCACTGCTGAACGGCTCTCACAGTCAGGAAGTTCTTCCTCGTGTTCAGATGGAATCTCCTCTCCTGTAGTTGGAAGCCATTGTTCCGCGTCCTAGTCTCCAAGGAAGCAGAAAACAAGCTTGCTCCCTCCTCCCTGTGGCTTCCTCTCACATATTTATACATGGCTATCATATCTCCTCTCAGCCTTCTCTTCTTCAGGCTAAACATGCCCAGCTCCTTAAGCCGCTCCTCATAGGGCTTGTTCTCCAGACCCTTGATCATTTTAGTCGCCCTCCTCTGGACACATTCCAGCTTGTCAATATCTCTCTTGAATTGTGGTGCCCAGAATTGGACACAATTCTAACCAAAGCAGAATAGAGGGGTAGTATAACTTCCCTAGATCTAGACACTATGCTATTGATGCAGGCCAAAATCCCATTGGCTTTTTTTGCCACCACATCACATTGTTGGCTCATGTTCACCTTCATTAGCTCATCCAGGCCTTCAAATGCTAATGAAGGTGGTCAGCTGAAACATTCACACCTAGCTTCAGCAGAGAGTTCTTTGCCCCACCCCAGTCATTCCACAGATATATAAACCCATTTT